GTTGTGCATTCAATGCTCCGCTCAGGTTTCCGTAGGAGAAACCAAGATGATTCCTAGGTGCATTCGGGTTGTAGAGATTAGAAGGATTCTGGTGTTGATTCCTTCCTGTGTAGTTGACGTCCTCAACCGATTCTTCTTCTGATGTGGCCTGATCAACCAAAAACATTCCAGGCTGGACTTTCTGCGGGTTAGACGTATTCTTGAGTCTTGTGTTGTTTGATAGCCGATAAATCAGACATGACTGCCTTCAAAGCTGTGGACTCGCCAAAATCTACCCGTCCTGTAGAGTGTCTGATGCTATCTCCTGACATCCCTCTTGCCTTAGCCATCTTAGCAATCTACATCTCTAGGGTGTCAAAGAGAATGTCATATACACTCCCTCCACTGCGTCCATCCATGCTCTAGTATCGTCTCTCAGTCCGTGGATGAATGTGAAAAGCAATAGTCGCTTATCCATGCCGTGGACAAAGGCGTTGATAGCCTTTGAATCTCTCCCATCCATCGTATAGACTCTCATCACTCTCCTGAATGAAGTTGTGTATGGCTCTCTGTGCAACTCGGGTCTTCTCTGGGGAGTAGTATTTGGCCATGAATTGCTCCTCTAGCTCCTCCCATGTCGTAATCGAGTTCGGCTCAAGGGTATAGAGCCAATCTCTCGCCCGATCCATTAGTGAAAAAGGAAAGGCCTCCAAGTATATATCTTCAATAGTCATCCCTCGTGCCTTCCTAACTGATCTGCACAACATCTTAAACTGAGTCAAGTGAGCAATGGGATCCTCCATAGGCCGCCCTCTGAAACTCGCCTGACTGAACATCGTGATGAATTGTGGTGGTAGCTCGAAACTATCTATAGACGGTCTGTTGATGCATGATAGGAGTTGGGTGTGCTTCGGTGCAATGTAAGAACCCAAAGTCTCCTCTGCAACCTAAGTAGCTTCGCCCTCGGTCTGCTGATCGTAGAGCGGATTCATGTGCTCTTGATTCATGTGGTTCTGATTCTCTTGATGCTCCTCATCATGAACCGCATGCTCTTGTTGACGGTCGTGCGAACTACTTGACCTCGACGTAGCTTCTCTTCTTTGCTGAGTTTGGATATGTCTCAAAGTACGCTCAATCTATGGATCGTAGACTAGGTCTTCTCTCCGAGTAGAGCTCCTTGTCATGCACTAGAACCTTGCAAACCGCAAAGAGAAAGAAGAACTCGAGACCAAGTGAATCCACAAAAACCAAAAAAAAAAGAAAAAGAAAAAGAAAACAAACACAGATCTAGAATCAATAAAGACCTAGAAATAGGCTAACCAGTTCCCGGCAACGGCGCCAAAAACTTGATACGTGTGTATCGAGTCTAGAATTTATAACCCGATTCACAACTCACCACAAGGATACGGATCGTCATAACACGGGGTCGAACGCAAGGGCCGGTAGCTAAGTCTAAACCCTAATTGAAACCAAATCAAAGCAAGCAAGTGGTAGTAGTGATGATGGAAGTGTATGGACTCAAAAGAAAGTAAAATAGCAAAGCAAATAAAACGTGTAACTATCAAGCAAAGATGACCATGGGTGTCGGGACCGTATTCGCGTGTATGGGTATATGCTAAGCATGCGAGAATAACGATTATGACTTGTTTTCGGGAATCGTCAAACAACAAAGATAGAGAATTCACCTCTCGGTCTACTAACTCACTACCTACAGAGTAACTCGTCAATCTCTTGATCTATTCAAGTTAACCCTAGATGCATGAAGAACGCTATCATCAACCCTAGATCGATTAAACCATATCTCTATGTGAATAATACGATCTATCCTATTGATTTTGATCTGAAACTAAACTCATATCTCTATGTAGTTTAGAATCTAAGATAATTGACCAAGGGGTTAGCAAACATCAATCGAATAAAAACACAAATCAATAGAATCGAAATCCAAGTTAGGGTTCAAACATACCCAAAACACAAACGAATCCCTAACCCATAGTCGTGGATCTACTCACGGTTCATGGAAAACAACAAAAGGCTCAAAGAAAAAGAGATAAAAGAGAGAAGAGAAAAGCTCACGTAGATGTGTAGTCTCCATGATCAAATCTTCCTTCTTCTCCCCGAAATCCCGTGAAGTTCTATTCTTCTCTTCACCAAAAGCTCTCCAAAGTCTGTATCTAAGTGTTCTCTAAGGCTCCCTTCTGTAGTAGGACATGGCTAGGATTTTTTTATAACCCTATGGTGGTTCCCAAAAGTCCTCTTCCCATTAGGATGCTGAAAATCGCGAATTAAGATTTTCTTCTGGATCCGGACCGAGTTCACCTGGATCCAGACCGAGTCCAGATTTCTGGGCTCGAATTCGGCCCACTGCAGGCAAACTCTTAGTCAAAGCATCAGCCAAATTTTGTTTGGTACGCACAAAATCCACCATTATGGTCCCCCGTCTTTCACTACAAGAAAACTGTTTTTTTGCAACGAAATTTTTTCGTTGCTAACAGGGAAATTTCATTGCAAAACGCTTTTGCAACGAAATTCAAACGAAATTTCTTGCGTTGCTAACTCGTCGTTGCAAAACAGAAATCGTTGCTAATCATTGCAACTAGCAACGATCTAGCAACGCAACCAATTTCATTGCAACATTAGCAACGAAATCACAACGAAGCTATTTTCGTTGCTACTTGCAACGAAAAAAAATTGTGTTGCTACAGCGTTGTAACATTAGCAACGCAATTTCGTTGGTAGTAGCAACTTATTCGGCACGAAATTTTTCGTTGCTAATAGCAACGCCTAGCAACGAAAACTGCGTTGCAACAGTTGTTCTACGTGTTATAAAAATCCTAATGTTGCAACGAAATTGCGTTGCAACGTTGCGTTGCAAACTTTCTTGCAACGTTTGTAGCAATTATTTTTTGCGTTGCAAAAACTCTTTAGCAACGCTATTAGCAACGAAATATTTCGTTGCTAACTTTTTAAAAAAATTTAAAAAAAATAAAAAACAAAAAACAAAAAAAAACAATTTATTGAAAATCAAAATCGTTCAAATTAACATCGGGCGCATCTTCACCACCATCGTCGGGAGCATCATCATTTGCACCGCTACCTCCTGCACCGCCGATGTTGACATTTCCTATGTTTTGGTCAACTAGCAGTTGGAGATAGTTGTGTCGCTGCTTTAGTTCGTCGTACTCAGCTCGCGACACAAAATTGTTCTGCACCTGTTCTTCTAATTCTTGGAGTCGTCGCTGTAGTGTGACAATCTCCTGAACAACTGGTGCTCCTCCTTCCCCGGCAGCGGTGTTGATGATATCTTGTTTGAGCGATCCAAGTCCATATACACGACCGTATTTGTTCGGTTTTACGGTCTAAATTCAAATATCTCTATTAGTATGTTATTTAATTATAACTAAAAAATAAAACATTATCAGAAATAAAAAATAAACTAACTAATTACCTTGACATATAGTTCATCGATTTGTTGTTGGGACAATTGCGTTGTAGTATTCATTCCCAACGCAGTCGCTTGCGATTCTTCAAGGGTTGTTTGCTGTGATATATAAGAGTTAAAAATTTAATAATTAATCTATATTTATAAAACTATTTTTATATTTAAAAACGTACAGCTTGTTCGATCTCGTCAATCAAATTTTTGGCTTTCCCGTCGATTATAGTACCATCTTTCCTTGTATGTGTAACCTTTAACACATCAAGAAGCGATGGTTGTTTTCCACACGTTCGGACCTACAAACAAAATTTTTATAACATGAATAATTTTCTATATTTTATATATATGATATTTGAAAATATATATCAATTACCAATGCATGCATGACCCGACTAAATGGCTTTCGCCCCGATGTATGCTTGTTTGGACCAGTTTCGGGAGTCACGTCCGTCGTTCTACTTTGTTTCGCATTTTTACTTCTTTCAATGTTGACGGGATTCTCCCAATACTCCACCATCTGGGCCCAAACCCCGCTTTCAATGTTCTTCGGGGGAGAACGATCTGACTTCATCTGCCAATATCGTTTATACCTGTTGACCTTGGATTTGAGTAGGTCCATGACACATCTTTTCCATGCATCATAGACCTTCGAGGTACGCACCTCATCCAAATACCAAGATTGCTAAAAAAACTTAATTAAAAATAATAGACAAATTTTTTTTATTAATTTACTAATTTAAAAAAAAATAACTTACAGCAAAACTAGCAAATCAGTGTTGCCGAGTGGTCTCGGATAATGAGGACCAATTCATCCAAGGTCCAGTAAAATTACTTTCAATAAACGATGAGACGGAATTATTAACCACGTGATCGACATTAAATCTAAAAATTACCAATAAAATTAATATTTTTTAAACAAATTTATATATTAATTTTATAAAAAAAATAATTAAATTTTATCACAATGCCCCATCCTCTTTGTTAGGATGGAGTTTACGCAATCGCGTCCTCTGTGGATTGGACGTGATGTCGGAGTACTGCACCCGCTGTGAAGCTTCGGGAGTTTGTTGTGGCGGAGTCGATCCGCTACCACGTCCGTAGCTACGTGCAACAAATCTCCTATCCATTTTCCTGCAAAATAAAACAATTATTAAAATTTATATAAATTATACACGAAAATATAATTGCGTTAACGAAAATATATGAATTTTACCAAACTTTTTGGAAATAGAGGTAGAGAGAAGGATTAGGGTGTTGGAAGAAGAGTTTAGAGAGAGAAATTGAATTTGTTGTTGGAATTGTGGAGAGTAGAAACGAAATTCGTTCCTTTATATAGCGAAACGTTGCAACGAAATTTCGTTGCGAACTAGCAATGAAATTGCGTTGCTAACGGCTTTAGCAATGAAATTGCGTTGCAAACGCGGAGTAGTAAATGCGTGCAGTGAATTCGCCAGAGACTATCGGATTTCACGCAGTTTAGCAACGAAATTTCGTTGCTAAAGCCGTTAGCAACGCAATTTCATTGCTAGTTCGCAACGAAATTTCGTTGCTAAATCAATTAGCAAGGCAATTTCGTTGCTAAAGTGATTCAAATCGTTGCAAGGTTTCAGATTACTGCGACGGTCAAATCGTACCGTAGCAACGAAATTTCGTTGCTAATTGACTTAGCAACGAAATTTCGTTGCGAAAGGAGACGAATCGTTGCTACTTGTCGCCTGCATGTAGACCGATTCTGCATGGAGGCCGCAACGTAATTTCGTTGCTACTACAGTTAGCAATGCAATTTCCTTGCTACAGGATTTAGCAACGAAATTTCGTTGCTACTACAGTTAGCAATGCAATTTCGTTGCTAAATCTATATTTATTTTTTTTCAATCAGAATCCTCTTCATCCTCATCGTTTACATCACTTTCTTCGGGTTCACTATCTCCTTCTTCAACAATATTTTCATCAACATGTAGAATATCATCTTCAATATGACCAATAAGATTATCAATTGATGGCAATGTCAACGCGTTTAATTCTTCGACGTCATGAATGATTTCTTGAAGAGGTAGCATTGTTGAATCGGTTGCATTTTCTTCATGGGATATTCGTCGTGGTTGTATTCTGATGACCGCACTCCATTGTTCACGCTGTCGTTTAACACTTGGATAAGACATAAAACACACCTGATCAGCTTGAGATGAAAGGATGAATGGATCGTATTTTTTATACTTTCTTGTGATGTTAACATCAACAGTTCCGGCAGCGTTCTTTCTGATGTCTCTGCCCTGTGTATGATCAAACCAGTCACAGTTGAATAAAACCATTCGTAGTCCAACATAACCATTGTATTCGAGAACCATGATTTCCTTAAGAATGCCATAGAAATCAGGTTCATTCGGTACCTCATAGCTTACGGAACCTCGAACACAAATTCCGTAGTTCGATACTCGTCGTTCTGAACCATGATCGAATGTGTGAAACGTGTATCCTCTTGTGAACATGATCGGATAACATGTCACCTTTCTCGATGGACTTGGATCAAATCTTTCAACCAGACTGGATGATGCGGTGATTGTTGAACCTGAAATCAATGAGACAATTATGGTTACATTTAATATTATAATAATAAACATAGACAGAAATTAAAGAAGTTAACTAATACTTACATACTGATATAACCAAGTCGAGAAGAATGTTTCTTTCATCTTGATCAGACCATCACCATCAATATCTGGATGTTGACGTATCATGTCCTCGTCAAACAAACGCTCAATGGGTCGAATGTCTTCACAATTCAATAAGATGTAAGTGTGTGCGTGTCGATACTCCTCTTCAGTTAACCAACGTCGACTGGATTTTCCACTAAGCCGTCCAGTCTGATAGAACATTTCTGGCACAATTTCATTGTATTCAAACAGTCGCTCTTCGTCTGCATGTCTAGATACACTTCTGTGTTTCGTTTGGACATGAGGCTCGAAGTAGTAGTTTGTAAAAAACGTCACCTCCTCATTAACGTACTGTTTGACGATTGCACCTTCTGGTTTATTCTTGTTTTTCACCTTGCGCTTAAGATGGTAGAAGAACCTTTCAAACGGATACATCCATCTGAATTGAGCCGGTCCTCCGAGGATTGCTTCATCTGGAAGATGTATCGTCAAATGCTCCATAACATCGAAGAACGATGGGGGGGAATATCTGTACATCAAACATGACAATTAAAATTTCATATAACATGAACTTAAATAACTTACAAAAAAATTTAGTTTCTTAATTACCTTTTCAAACGCGCACAGAATGATCGGAATATTAGTCTTCATAGTTTCAACATCTTTGACATTTAAGTTCTTAGAACAAATGTCTCGGAAGAACGTGCTGATACCTGTAATGATATTAATTAATTTTATAAGCGTAAGATATTGTTATTCATTACATGTGGTTAATTTTAACTAGAAATATGCACACGTACCGCATAAAGCTTTGGTTACAGGTTGTGGTAGCAGTTCACCGATGGCAACAGAAAGTAGGCGTTGCATAAATTAATACATGACAATCATGACTTTTCATCCCATGTAGTTTTCCACCTTCCAGATCAACACACCTTCCAATGTTTGAAGCATATCCATCTGAAAACTTGACTTCATCTCTCAACCACTTTAAAATCGCAAGATTTTCATCTTTAGAGAGTCTGAAGATGGGAATAGGAGCTTTTCCATCTGCTCTCATCTCCAAATCTTTCCGAGAACATATGTCCTTAACATCCATCCTTGAAGCAATGTTATCCTTTGATTTACCTACAATAAATTTGCAAAAGGTATTAAACAAAACGTATATTAATGGAAAAATGGAAAAAAAATGTTAACTTTCACATTCATGAGTGTGTTGATGATATTATCGAAAAAATTCTTCTCAATGTGCATGACGTCGAGATTGTGACGAAGTCTATGAGTACCCCAGTACGGTAAATCCCAAAAGATACTTCGTTTATACCAATTATGGTAATCACCATACTCATGTGGTTTGGAATACCCGTTTTCTCCACATTCGGTTGTTTTTTGCACGCCGAAAATGCTATCGATACGCTACAATATTTCATTACCCGTCAGGAGAAGAGGCCTTGGTTCGGTCACAACTTTGTTCCGTCTAAAATATTTTTTGTTGCGCCTCCATCCATGGATGATCCAATGGTAAAAATCTGCGATGACAATCAAACCAACATGGTTTCCACCCATGTTTTAATTGGAATGAATCAATCTCATCCATGCAATAAGGACATGCTAAACGTCCATGAGTACTCCACCCAGACAACATTCCATAAGCCGGAAAATCACTGATTGTCCACATCAATACTGCTCTCAAGTTGAAGTTCTGTCTTGTTAAAACGTCATACGCATCAACACATTGTTCCCATAACATCAATAATTCATCAATCAAAGGTTGGAGAACACGTCAAAACTCTTCTTCGGATGAGAAGGTCCCGGCAGTAATATCGTCAGAAATAAAAACTCTCTTTTCAAACACATTTCCGGCGGTAGATTATACGACGACAACACAATTGGCCATAATGAATATTGTTTCCCAGACTGACCATATGGTGCAAAACCATCGGTGCATAAACACATAGATAAACATTTCTCACCTCAGAGGCAAAATCAGGATATAGTTGCACAAAATGCTTGCATGCCTCACCATCTGATGGATGACGCATGTTGCCTGAATCCGAAACATGTTCTCCGTGCCAACGCATCTGAGATGCTGTCTTGTGAAATTCGTATAATCTCTTCAATCTGTCTGCTATCGGCAAATAAAACATCCGTTTATACGACACTCTTTTACGTTGCACATTTTTCCTGGGTTTGAATCGATCAGCTCCACAAAATCGACAATTCGATAACTCTTTATCATCTCCAGACCAAAAAATCATGCAATTGTTCTGGCATACATCGATTTTGATAGCCCTCATGCCCCATGAGTTTAGACATATTGTAGAAAGAATCAGGAGCATGGTTACCTCCAGGAAGATAATCGGTCATCATCTGACATACCTCGTCCATACAATTCTCCGTCAGATTATAACTCGACTTCATGCCCATCATTCGTGCTGAAAGAGATAATTGGATAATCCTTCTACGCATCCTTCATATATATAGTTGATTAGCTGCCTCCAACAAATCAAAAAACCTCTTTGATTCGTTCTTTGGTTCTTCATCTTCCCTGTTAGAACAAAACTGAGAAGGGAATGCATCTTGAACCATATCAATGTAACGGTTAGTTGGTTCACTACTCCTCCCAACAAATTTGTCGTTAATGGTAGGAACATTAACAACATCGAGCGTTTCACCGTGATAAACCCAAATATAATAATTTGGAACAAAACCTCTTTTGAATAGATATTTTAGAACCACCTCTGGAGTAAGAAATTTAGAATTTTCACATCGTGCACACGGACAATATATTTTACCCGTTCTTACGCACTGATTCTGACTTGTCGCAAATTGCATAAAATTCTGCAACCCCTCTTCATACTGGATGCTTAAACTGCCCGTAGATGCATCAGTCTCTCGTATAACCATCGTCTAGAGTGATAAATATCACCTCCACTCGATGTCATTTTTTTTCGAATTTTCGAAGTTTGAAGGGGAAGAAGGGGAAGAGAGAATGTTTTATAAAATTATTTGCAACGCAATTTCGTTGCTAACCGAAAACCGTAGCAACGAAATTGCGTTGCAAAGTAAAAAACCGGTTAATAGGCTTCACCAACATTTCTCGGTTAGCAATGAAATTGCATTTCAAAACAGATTTACAACGCAATTTCGTTGCTACCAAAAAGCGCAATTCTGACATCGAATCATTTGCGTTGCTAACATCATTAGCAACGAAATTGTTGCGTTGCTACCTAGCAACGAAATTTGACTTCGTGGCAAATGCGTTGCAAAACGTTACTCGTTGCAACGAAATTTTCGTTGCTACTAGCAACGAAATTCATGTGTTGTAAAAGCGTTGCTACTCGTTGTCGTTGCGTTGCAACATTTTCGCCCGTCAAATAACGTTGCTAATCGTTGCAACTTGCAACGCAATTTTCGTTGCTACTTTGCAACGAATAAATTGCGTTGCTACGCGTTGCAAAAATGTGTTATTTCGTTACTATTTCGTTGCAAACTTTTTTCGTTGCAAAACGTTGCGAAAGTGTTGCAAAGTTTGCAACGAAAATCATTTCGTTGCAAATTTCGTTGCAAAAACGCTGTTTTTTTTGTAGTGTTTTATCAGACCATTCACATAGCTATGTCGTAAACCAATTAATATGTCTAGACTTCCCGTTATATACATGACTATATGCCTTAGCCAACGTTGATGTACTATCACAATGAATTGCAATAGGCGAAACCGGTTTAGACCACAATGGTATTTCAAATACCAAATTCCTTAGCCATTCCGCTTCTTTTCCCACAGAAGCTAAGACAATGAATTCCGACGCCATCGTCGAATCCGAAATGCAAATTTGTTTCTTGGAAACCCAAGAAATCGCAGCTCCACCTAGCAGGTACAACCAACCACTCACAGAGGCATCTTCACTAGAGTTCCAACTCGCATCCGTATATCCTTCTAACACTGAAGGTTGACCCGTGTAGCGCAAGCCATAATTTATGGTCTTTTTAAAGTACCGAAATACTCTCTGTATTGCATGCCAATGATGTACGCTTGGGTTACTAGTGTACCTACTCAACTTTCCTACATCGTATGCTATGTCGGGTCGAGTGGTAGTCATAGCATATATCAAAAAACTTATTACACTAGCGTATTCAAGTTGAGACACTGGTTTCCCACTATTTGCTACAAGCTTTGCGGTACAATCCATCGGAGTAGAAATTGGAGAGCTATCATAAAGATCAATCTGTTTTAACACTTTCTCAATGTAGTGTGATTGAGATAGTGTTATTGTATCATGATCTTTCCTTATCCTAATACCTAGGATAACATCAGCTACTCCTAAATCTTTCATCGAAAACTTCGATGACAAGAAGTTTTTTGTCTTCTCGACTTGCTTTAATTCAGTTCTGAATATGAGCATGTCATTCAGTATAAGCAAATGATAACTTCATGACCGTTATCATCAAACCTTCTATATACGCACTTGTCTGATTGATTCAGATGAAAACCATTAGCCAAAACAACTTCATCAAACTTTTGATGCCATTGTTTGGGTGCTTGTTTCAACCCATACAACGATTTGACTAACTTGCACACCTTGTGTGCTTGTCCCGATAGTATAAAACCTTCTGATTGCTTCATATACACCTCTTCTTCTATATCATCGTTAAAGAATGCCGGTTTGACATCCATTTGGTGGATTACAAGATTTTTTATCGCTGCAAGAGCAATCAACAATCTTATTATAGCTATTCTAGCTACCGGTGCATACGTATCAAAGAAATCGATATCCTCTTTTTGTCTAAAGCCTTGAGCTATTAGACAAGTCTTGAACTTATCTATTATCCCGCCGACTCTCATCTTCTTTTTGAAGATCCATTTGCAACCAATAGGTTTACAACCTAGAGGTGGATCTACTAAGATCCATGTATTATTGCTCATAATAGAATTTATCTCATCATTTATTACTTCCTTCCAGAAAGCGATGTCCTGCAGTTTCATCGCTTCGTCGTACGTCCTAAGATCTCCCTCGATATTATAGACATAAGCGAGTTGAGTCATGATTGACTCGTTTGTACCTTCAACGAGGTACATCTGAAAGTTCGGACCAAAGGATTTTTCTTTCCTTATATGTTTACCTCTACGAGGTTCACGTTCTCCGTCCTCTTGATCGTTTGCTCGACCACTTATACCAGGTACAACAGGTGGTGGTTTATCTACCGAAAAAAATCGACATTCGTCGAACAATGCATCTCTTGACTGGATAACCATATGAACGGATATGTAGTCGTTTGGTTCTATTACATAGAACCTATAGGCTTTACTATGTAGAGCATAGCCTATAAAGATACATTCTATTCCTCTTTCACCCAACGTTTTTCTTTTGGGTTCTGCCACTTTTCGCTATTGCCCTATAACCCCAAATCCGAAAATAATTCAGATTCGTTTTCCGCTTGTACCATAACTCATATGGGGTAACCTTATTCCTTTTTTATGGAACTCGGTTTAGAATATAACAAGTCGTTAACATGGCTTCACCCTAAAAACCCTCACTTAAACTCGAGTATGAAAGCATGAAATTAACCATTTCTTTCAAGACCCTATTTTTTCTTTCCGCTACACCATTTTGTTGTGGTGTGTAAGGTGCGGTACTCTCATGAATCACTCCTACAGATTCAAAATACGTAGGATCATAGTATTCCCCATTGTTCAAGAGTCATATTTTCCTTTTCGTGTTTCAGGGAACGCTTCACATCCTTCCAACTTGGCGGAAGTTTGTCAACAATGGACGAGACCTTTATGGTTTCATCCATAGTCAGTTTCTATTGTGGAAATTGACTCAAGATCCTATGTAATTCATGGAATTGTTCTACGACCGATCTCGAATCAATCATCTTGTAAGCGTTGAAATTGTTTACAAGAAATCTTTTATTAGAGGCATCTTTGGAGAGATACTTTGCCTCTAGTGAATTCCACAACCCTTTTTCATTTTCTATGTGTTGATAAACATCAAACAGAGCATCTGACATACAGTTCAGAATGTGACCGATAAAACGTAGTTATCGTTGTCCCATTTGTTCCGTATACGTGCCTGCACCAAGGTTTCCTCTTCGCTTTATTTCGGTCTAGGTGTGCTTATCATGTACCTGACATTCAGTGTCATTAACAGGAAATGCGTCTTCTTTTTCCACCTTCGAAATTCCACGCCCCCAAATTTATCGAGTTTGTGGAAATCGATGGTGAGATCCCTCACAGAAGTAGTCAACCCAAAGATAACGTTTTCGATTGTAGAAAAATGGATATGAAAAAGAATGGGAACTGGATAACTCTTTTAGGCATGAGGATCACTTTCCAAAAGCGTTATTTCATCCCAAATGAGCAAACGGGATACCGAAGCATGTTTCTGATATATAAAGAGGAGACAGCGATTTTGTTTTGCTCTACAACAATCATCAAAACAAGAAACTTGTGAAGAAGAAGATGAACACCACACTTTTTGATTAATTTGCAAGAACAATGAAAAAGTTCACTCAAAATCTCTCAAATTTGGGTTAGATCTCGTACCCAACTTATTCTGACGTCTTTAGTATATAAAATACTAAGAGACATCACCAAAATTTTCATGCGAAGAATTGCATCTGTTCGTGTTTCTACAAACTGTCATGGTCCGAGTTAAAACTGACTCGGACCGAGTTACTTCTGACAAAACACGAGGTACTTCTCACAGACTTTTGACTCAGACCGAGTTGAAATTGACTCGGACCGAGTTACACCTGACATCGTCCGAGTTACATCGGACTCGGACCGTGTCAACTTTCTGTGCTAAACAAAATTTTCGTCAGAAAAGTAACATGGGCCATGTTAAATCTAACACAGACCGAATTACATTTCTGTAAAAAAAAATTCGTTTTAGTCACGTAGACTGAGTTCTACTTCACTCGGGTTGAGGTATACTTCACTCACGAACCGACCAACTTTACTGCCAAATACATATTTGTTTTATCGATCCATATTATATTATTTACGAATATTTAACTCCACCATATTCGTAATACATATAATTATTCTTGCCAACCATTTACTCTAAAATATACAACACCTGAAGCTTTTCATGAGTTGCTCCTTGTCCGTGCCCGCACCGGCGATCATTCCCCGGCCTCCTACGATATCCTGGGCTGTCACAATGTATATGTATGTGTGTGTTGTGTATGTATGTGAATGTGAATATATATGTATATATATATATGTATATGTATGTGTTTATGTATGGTTGTGCATGTGTTTATGTATGTATGTGCATGTGTTTATGTATGTGTGAATGTGAACGTGCTTATGTATGTGTTTGTATGTGGAATATGTATGCATATGAATATGTATATGAATTTGTATGTATATATGTATTTGATTGTGTATATGTGAAATATGTATGGATATGTATATATGTGTATATATAATATGATGTATATATTTATATATGTTTATATGTGTATGTGTATATATGCTTATGTGTGTTATGTGTATTTATATATAATATATGTTTTTTTAAAGTTCAAAAAAATTGCGATGAAATGTGACGGAAAAATCCGTCGCAAATTACAACGGAATTATCCTTCATTTTTCGTCGCAAAACGCAGATTTTATTCATCGCAACTTTTGCGACGGATTAATAACGACCGGCAAACATTTGCGGTAGTATCGTACCAACGGAAATTGGTCCGTAGTATTCCGTCGAAATTTAAATTCTTTATATTTATGATGTAAAAATTGCGACATATTTTCTTTATATTTACGATGGATTTTTCCGTCCCAGTATCGAATGTTTCTTGTAGTGGAAGAACCATAGCTAGTCTTGACATGTTGCGGAAGTACTGTCGAAGCCTTTGCGTCATATTTGACCGTCGCAATAAAATGACACGTTGCAAACTTACCGATTTGACCGTTGCAGTAAACTGACACGTTGCAATGATTCGTATCAATTTAGCAACGAAATTGCGTTGCTAAATCAATTAGCAACGAAATTTTGTTGCAAGTTAGCAACGAAATTGTGTTGCTAACGGATTTAGCAACGCAATTTCATTGCTAAATTGCGTGAAATCCGAAACAATCTAACGAATTCACTGCATGCATTTACTACTCCGCGTTTGCAACGCAATTTCGTTGCTAACTTGCAACGAAATTGCATTGCAAACTTCCGCTATATATAGGAACGAATTTCGTTTCTAAAAATCACAATTCAAATAACAACTCCACTTTCTCACTCTAAACTCCTACTCCAACACCCAAAAACTTCTCTCTACCACAACCTCCAACATTTTCGGTATAATTATATTTATTTATATAATTTGTAATATTTTTATTTATAATTTACATAAATACTAATTGTTTTTTTATTTTGCAGATAAACGGAAAGAAGAACTCCAGCACGTAGCTACGGGCGCGGTAGCTGATCTACGCCGCCGATGCAGAACGTAGAATCTATCCAACGGGTGCAGTAGTCTGACATCACATCTAATCCACAAAGGACGCGGTTGCGTAAGTTCCATCCTAACAAAGAGGATGGAGCATTGTGGTAATGATTTTTTAAAATTTATTTAATAAATTTACAATATAAAATTTATTAAATAATAATTAATTAGATTGTTAATATTTAGGTTTAATATCGGTCATGCGGTTAATAATTCTGTCTCGACCTTTATAGAGAGCAATTTCACTGAACCTTGTATGAATTGATCCAGATTACCAGATCGGCAACACTGGTTTGCTAGTTTTGCTGTAACTTTAATAAACCCTTTTAAAAACTATTAAATTTTAATTCTGAAATGTTTTGTTAATTTTTTTAATTAAGTTTTTTTGGCAATCCTGGTATTGGGATGAGCTGCATACTCAACGGTCTATGAGGCATGGAAAAAATATGTCATGGACCTTCTTAAATCCAAGGTCAACAGGTATAAACGGTATTGGCAGATGAAATCAGATCATTCTACCTCGAAGAACATTAAAAGCGGGGTCTGGGTCCAGATGGTGGAGTTTTGGGAAGACCCCATCAACATTGAGAGAAGTAAAAAAGTGGCCCAAAGTAGAAAAACGGACGTGGCTCCCGACACCGGTCCAAGCAAGCACACTTCGGGACGAAAATCATTTAGTCGGGTCATGCATGCATTGGTAATTAATATATATTTTCAAATTTAAAATATATAATATATGAAAAATTATTTATCTTATAGATTTTTTTGGTGTAGTACCGAGATCGAAGAAACGGTACGTGTTTAAATGTATAAATATTTGTATAAATATATATTAATTATATAATTTTAAAATCTTATATATATTACATGTCATAGCAAACAAGGATAGTTCAATGCAATCATCTCAACAACAAATCGACGAGCTATACGTCCAGATAAATTGGTATATTTTTAATTATGAATTTGTATTTATTTAGTCATAAATAACATAATAATTGTGTTATTTGAATTCATACCGTAAAGCCGAACAAATACGGTCGTATATATGGACTTGGATCGCTCAAACAAGATATCATCAACACCGTTGCCGGAGAAGGAGGAGCACTAGTTGTTTAAGAGATTGTTACACTTCAGCGACGACTTCAAGAATTAGACTAGCAGATGCAGAACAATTTTGTGTCGCGAGCTGAGTACGACGAGTTAAAAGTTAAAACAGCGACACAACTACCTCCAACTGCTAGTTGATCAAAACATCGGAAGTGTCAATACCGGTGGTGCAGGAGGTAGCGGTGGAAATGATGATCCTCCTGGCGATGGTGGTGATGCTGGCGGCGACATTAATTTAAATGATTTTGATTTTACTTAATTTATAAGAAATAATATTTTTTATTTTTTTTATTTTTTAATTTTTTTTAATTTTTTTAATTTTTTTTAAACTTTGCAACGTAAAATTTCGTTGCTAAAAGCGTTGCTACATTCTCGTTGCAACGCAAAATTTCGTTACTAAAAGCATTGCAAAATTACATCGCAACGCAATTGGATTGCAAAGTTACAGAGTTTTTAAATCCATTTCAAAAGTGTTGCAACGCTATATGCGTTGCTCTTCGTTGCGAGTAGCAACGAAAATTTGCGTTGCGAATCATTGCAAATTGCAACGAAATAATTTCGTTTCAAAATCGTTGATATTACCAATGAAATTGCGTTGCAAAATTAGCAACGCTATGACAACGATACGTTTTCGTTGCACCTTGCAACGAAATCCGTAGCGTTGTAATTTTGTTGCAAACTTTGCAACGAAATTTCTGTTGTTGCTAATTCGTTGCAAGTTGCAACGATTAGCAACGATTTGTCTTTTGCAACAACGAGTTAGTAACGAAAAAATTTTCGTTATTATTTCGTTGCAAACGGTCATTTGCAACGAAATTTCATCTTTTGCAATGCAATATTTTTGTTGCAAAAAAACAATTTTTTTGTAGTGGCCCAAGAAAACTGCAGTTCTTGGATCTTTTGATTGGGATATCCCCATATCTTTTAATATGATTTTTCAGTTATTTATATGATAAGCAATATAAATTTATTAGATAATAAAGTAGGTTATTTTTTTTAATGAAAATCTCACACACCAAATCTTTTGCATTGTGCGTAACAACCACCCGTATGAAATGAAATTTGATTGTTTCCCAATTATTGAAGGTCTTATATTAACTAAATGAAACCGTGCAAGTGTACATTCTATTCTGCTAATCCTAATTGATAAAATTCATTAGGATATTAACATTGCATTTTTGTAATGTTGAGATAAATTTCCATGGTAGTATGATATGAAATTTACGGATATACGATCCCAAACCTAATGATTGGGGTCTTAGAGTTAGAATCTCGATCTCGAGCATATCCACCAACCGAGTTTTATGTACTCGGTTCTCTCTAAATACTCGGGTATTCACATGTATCACCAAACTCCTAATCGTCGATTTCCTTTCTTTTGTATAAAGAGATATGGAGAAGATTTGAGAAGATTACGTAATATTACGTAATATTTAGATTTGGTTTTGTTTCTATATTTTAGATATTTATATTTATTAAATAAGATATTTTGTGATTTCATTTTCTATTATAAATATTGTAATCTTCTATGTTGAATAATGAGAAATCCAATGATTCTCCATTGGGATCGTGAAAACACATGTTGTTGGGACATATGGATGACCAATTTGGTTAATAACATAATAAATAAATATATGCGAGCCGAATAACATATAACCGTAATCGAGTTGAATCGAAGTAAAAATCGAATGGTGATAATTTCTCTAAAATCAAAAAAATCAAATTCGAATAAAACTTTAATCCAAAAAACACTATTTGTTAAGGATATTATCACTAAAAAACTCAAACCCAATCATCCCGAATGGTTATAGTTTTTTTTTAAAAAAAATAGAAATAACTGAATCTAAATATAACCAAATCAAATCTGATCGAAACCTGAAATACCAAGGACGAGAGAAGGTGCGTGCGAGAGAGAATCCATGGAAATGATAAAGGGATGGGGCACGGGCACCATCAGATTCGAGAATTTACAACCCGACTGGATATACAAACAGAGCATTGATAAATAATCAAGATGAAATCTGTGCAATGATATGATCGATATCTTCCTAATCCATATCTTAATACATTTTTGGACTTGATTAAATGATGGATCCAGGTGAAACGTCCAAACAAATTCGTTCAACTAATTTTATTAAAATAATACGGACAATTTTTTATAACAATTAGGTTCATTTTCATCGTAGTAGTTAATTGTATTAAATAGATTTATAATTGGATGGATTATTTTAATAAATTGCCACTCTATGTCCATAAACTACACTAATTTCTGTTATTTTCCGTCACGAGCCTAGTGGAAAATATATGATTTATCAAATAATTCTTTAATTTCTTGTTTGGATCTTAAAAATATAATAAGTTACAAAAAAAAAAAGTAGAATAGTAAAAAAGGTCCCAAAATAAAAGTGAGGGCCAAATAATCGCACGGAGTAATAAGTTCATAGAATAATGTTTTTCGTTGACCCAAATGTGAACAGATAATTTAATTCTCCAATTAAAACCTCGACTCCATATACCATATCCCGTTTATTATCGTCCCTCTATATATACACACACAATGTTCTTGCGTTTTAAACATCAACAGATCTCTCTCTCTCTCTTACATACACACAGATATATATACACATACATACATACTTGTAGATATACGATGCCACATAAAACCCATGATTGGCAAATCTCTTGCCTTGTTTTCTTTTGTCTTCTTCCATCAGGTAATAATATTTTGTATTTTCTAGTCCTTTATTTCCTCTTTTTTTTTTTTTTATCTAACCTACTATATGCATGCATGTCCACGTATGTGCATGCATGAATACGCATACGTAACCATACTCCACCCATGCAATAAACTGGATTAGAATTCTATCAAATATAACGAAACAACATTAAGCTCTAATACCAACCCCAATCATATGCGTATAATCTTGAATCGTTTCTAACGCCATGTTTTAAATGGTTTAGGTTATGGAGGTGTGAATGGATCATTCCCTAACCAATTTCACGATCGAAATGGCGATAATATATTCGGTTTCGAACCGAAGATGTTATTCATATTCGGAGATTCGTATGTGGATATACAGGGAACAATCCTATCACCTTTGCCAACTCGTGGAGGTTTCCTTACGGAATCACATTTCCTAATAAACCTACCGGCCGTTACTCCGACGGTCGTGTTTCTTCCTATTATTTAGGTACGAGTTTGTCCTTGTCTGCTCCTTTTTTCTTATTATTATAACATTTTTGTTACGTAATTCAAATAAAAACGATGTACGGACTGTATGGGGTGAAGGTTTTTTTATTTATTTATAAAAGGCTTTAGTATGGAGTGAAGTTGATATCTTTGTTTATAGAATAAAGTATGTTATTAAGTAAAAATGGTTATATTTTTTAAAACTCATATAAGAACAAAATATATTAGCACCGGTATTATATTTCAAGATACTTAGTCAAATTAAAATGCATTTTGTTGAATATTAAATTGCTTGTTGATCTTACAACATAGAATCCGATAAGGTCTTGCTTTAATATGACATTTTCTATAAGGACAGTACATACTTTGAACTCTATCTAGGAGGTTATATGTATTATGTATGTAAATACGTCGTACGCTACACTCATGAAATAAACTAAAAAAGAAATCTTTTGTCGTATATATAAGGACACTATAATAATTATGTAGGGTTTAAACTAGAGGTTTCCTACATATTTCATTTTGTTAAAGGTTGTACCCAGAGAGTTTCGATTTCCTACATATTATGTCTACGAATACTTTGTACATTACAATAATGAAATTTACCTTTTGCCAAAAAAAAATAATGAAATAAACAGAAAAACCTTAATTTTGCTTATATTTTCTAGTTTGATTTAATAAAAAAATTTCATCAAGTTCTAACTCACTTCTTTACTTGATGATATATGGCACAGCGAAATACCTTGGTTTAAGATCTCCGATTCCATATCGATGGAGGAGATACGAACCAAAGCAACTGGAATATGGAATGAATTTTGCATACGGTGGAGCTGGCGTATTCGAAACTATATACAAAGTTGCAAATACAACTTTACAAATCGAAAATTTTCGAAATCTCGTCCATGAAAACGTATATTCTGCGGCAGATCTCCTCTCCTCGGTCGCTCTTTTCAGCATAGCTGGAAATGACTACTTCACTTACCTCACACTTAACAATGTCACACAACAGGTAACTATTGGACTTATTGTTTCCATTTCAATCAACGCCATTTCTCTAACATGTAAACACTAAAAAGGTTTACCATAAAGCTTGACCCAAATTACTAAAAGAGAGATCGAGTGAATCATTTAAAATTACAAAATTAGAACGTAAGGAAATTAACATAATATATCATATATGTAAAGGGCGGTCTAGGGTCATAACTAATTTTAATTTTTTTTTATAAACCATGATAACATTTTTAAATTTATTTTTTCTTAAATGTTTTTAAAATTGTTATAGTTGAAGCCCAAATTTAACCTATTTCTAATATTTTTAAAATTGTCATAGTAAAAATTACCTATATTTTTTTTAAAAAAAATTATGCTTAGATATTTTTATCATCTTAAATTTAAGTTTAACATATTTCCATATAAATTTTCTCATTTTATAGACTTGATTTTACATAGGACCCTCAACATGTATGAGCCCTCAAAATGTATGAAACCACTACTTATATATATATATATTCTTAATCTAAATTTGGTGCAACCCTAATTCATTGACCACAGGGTATTGAAACATTCACAAGGAGGATCATAAACCAAATGATTTTGGACATAACGACGGTCCAGAACTTGGGAGTGAGAAAGGTGGCCATTGCGGCCATGCAACCTCTCGGATGTTTACCGGTCGCATCCACTGCCACCGGCAAAAGTGGTTTCCGGTGGTGCAACGAAACTTATAATGTAATAGCAAAGTTTCATAATACACTTCTAAGTCAAGCCCTAATCAAGTTGAACCAAGAGAAGAATGACACTGTTTTTATCATGCTCGATATTTACAAGGCTTTTTGGACCGTTTTGAAGAACAAAGGTGTTCGAGGTAAATTTATTGAGTATATTTCCCTTTATATAATTGGTTATTATACATATTTTCTTGATACGTATAGGGGACTTGAATAATTGTCTAAGAGGAAAAAACAAAACAACTGTAGTCATAGATATCGGCTTATTTAAAGAGTTAAAATCCAAAACTTTAAGTTGGGTTTGGATTTTGATTAGAAACCTAATACATAATTTAAATCACATTTAAACCTGCCACTTATTTTTATTTAAATTATAAAATAAAAAAAGAAATCAACATCAATCTCTTTTCATTTTTTGACTTATTTATTCATTATTGTGTTTGCTTCTTTGGGCAGATCGAAAGTAGAAGATATACTATAAAATTGGTCACTATTTTATGTTCTCATAAGCCTATTACCCGAGCCAACTCATGTATGTATGTATGTATGTATGTATGTATGTATGTATGTATGTATGTATGTATGTATGTATGTATGTATGTATGTATGTATGTATGTATGTATGTATGTGTATACATATATAATAACAACAAAGGTGAATAAATCGCATGGTGCGTCGTGCAATGTGGCAGGGATATCAAGTTTTCCAAACCCATTGGAGAGATGTTGTGTCACAACCAAGAAGGGATACAAATGCGGAGAAGTGGACAAAAGAGGTGTAAGAACATTTGAACTTTGCAAGGATCCTAAATCTTTCTTCTTTTGGGACGATCTTCATCCTTCCCAACAAGGTTGGCGATCAATCTATTCCGTTCTTCTACCCGATCTCTGATATTGTCACGAATGATTCAACAACGTAATCGTAATAATTATGTATGCTTATCTTTTTTTTTCTCATGCGTGAAATAATTATAATTCATCTATCGTTGTATGATTGTTGTGGAAGAATCGATTGGTCCATTAAAACTGTTAAACATTACAATCGGTAAGACCAAAACGACCGCAGTCCTACTCTTGTACAAGGAATCCCATGGATAAATGGTAGTGAACACATACGCAAAATAAAATTATGCAAGCTCAAAAGTTGGTTCTAATGTTTTCGGTTAAGAAAACCCAATGTTAGAGCATCAAGTTGATGTCGGTGTGTTTCTGACCCTTAACTGAAAGGAAAATATTCCTCATGACATAACGTTTTTCATACACTTAGTTTTTTTTATGATAGTTATAGAGATATAAGTTATCGAAAACTCGGTAGTAAGATTTAAGGATGAGAGGTAAATTTCTTATTTCTAAATCGATTTAACAATACCGTATTTCTGGATATGCAGAAATAAATCCTAAGTCTAATATGTAGAATCGTAAGAATAAAATAGTATCGTAAGAATAAAATAGTATCGAATTATATTTGAATCTATTTTTGTAACGGAATCTGTGGTGTCTAAACAAAGATTGAGATTTATAATCCTCTACATCAACACAGGAACAGAAAATAATTCTCACAATATGAGGTTGTAAGAATTATTAAAACCGTGTGTGACTTAGGGATCATAACCCCTAATTTATAGAAAATTGATTTCTAATTATTTCCAATTTCACCCATAAAAGAAATGGAAATAACACAATATCAGCACATCAATCTCATATTTACCGAAATGATAATTAGGTCCTTTAGTTCTTAATTAGATCACAAATATGACCTAAATAAAATATCACATAATATATATTTTAATTGATGAGGTGTTGGTTCATATGATTATTAAAAATAATCATTGATGGAAAATAATCTTATCTCTTATCGGTTTGGTTATTTTGTTTTCTTCAATCATTTTATTTTGGTCGAATTTGGAAGTTTGACACATTCAGCTTTTGAAGTTTTCAAAATAAATTTGTTGTAAGGCACGAGTTTTAAGCCACGTGAGAGTGAGACTCGTCATACATACACGTTATAATTTGTTTGTTTATTTATTTATAAATAATGAATGATGACACTCAACAAAAGTATGAGAGAGTCATTACACATTCCTTGATATTTTATCTCTTAGCAAAACTTCTTCGTATTTTTTCACATGTTAATTTTAAAATCAATATATTTTTTTCCTCAGATAAAAAAACAGATGATGATTAAATTCAAATTCATTTTTTTTCTCAGATAAAGAAACAGATTATGATTAATATATTGCTAATTATTTATTTTCATTTAACTTATTTTATATTATTTGATGATTAAATTCAAATTCAAATCACTACATTTTCAAACTTATATATAATTTTTTATTTTTATATCAAATTTAATACAAATATAATTATATTTTAGTCAATTTAATAATTTGTTCAAACGTAAGTGACCACCGTAAAGCGTAAATATTTGAAATAAACAAATAAATAAAATTTATAGTCCATGGTTCAGAACAATTACTATAGGGAGACTCGTACCACACCATAGATGATGTGACCCACTCATCATGCATCTCACCTTTGCCGACGATGTTATTGTATTCTGCAGAGGCAACCTTGACTCGGTAAATGAAGTTCTGTCCATTTTGACTGAGTTTGGTACATCAAGTGGGTAGCACATTAACCGAGCAAAGTCAAAACTCATACTCAGTGGTGTTTCTGATGATGTCCGACAGTCCATAGCGGCGGCTACATGGCTCCCACTAGGCTCTCTTCCGGTGAAATACTTGGGGGTTCCGTTAAGTTCGAGGAGACTATCTAAGCGGGACTTCCAACCCTTGCTGGAACATATAAAGTACAAGTTGTCTCTCTGGAAAACTAGATTTCTATTTATGGCAGAAAGAGTTCAGTTGATCTCCACTGTCATTTATTAAATGGTTAATTCATGGAGCTCAATGTTTGTCCTACCAAAGTTTCTTTTGAAGGCCATTGACTCAATGTGTTCCCCCTTCCTTTGGTCTAACACATCCGACAAGTCAACGGTGTTGGTTGTAATGCTCTAGGATGATCCATGATATGACATTTAACTTTGTATTGATTCATTGATTTATGAATGCATTATTTATCCGTTATACGATTAGCATGTTTGTTGTATTTCGGCATTCGTGAATCATTAGAGAATGATTCTAAACTCCCTATTCAGTCATCATTGTGGGAACAATGTTGAATCAAGACTAGCATGAGGTGTGATCAACGCATTGGATGTAGATCACAATCATGGTCAGGGGCTGACCAAATTTGGTCAGCCCCGGACCAAGCTCATAATTTCTCCGAAAAATGACAGAACGGCGGACCAGAGAAGCTGACCAAGGTCAGTTCGGCGGACCAGATTCTGGTCAGCTCCGGACTGGATCTCAGACACTTCTCAAGTCCGAAATTTTGTCCTCTTCCTCATGATTAATCTCAAGCTATTACCGCCCATTAGTAGAGCAACTGTCAAGGCCTCGATCGTCATGGTTACGGGTCATGCCCTAGCTGAGCGTGCCTGATTATCTTGGTGAGGCAGTATGGAGAAATCGTGATTCTCATAGCTCGAATATGGTTGAGCTTGAATTGGGTTATCAAGTCGGACTTGGACCTGATGGTAAGGATGGGATGAGGAACATGCAGTGATAGCGTATCACTATCCCATACACATCTAGGAATCACATAGGATGTGATTGACAATGGGTTGTCTACCTAAATAGCATGTTTTTGAGCGTCATGCCCTAGCTGACTCAAAAGCATGTGAAATATGGATCCTAACTCACTTAGAAACTCATTGAGGGTATTTTTCTTAGTGGGAGCTTGTCATATTGCATCTATTGTCTGTGTTAGTATGCGTACTAAGCGACTTGCATGTTTTTTCTGTCTGTTTGTTTGTCTTTTTCTGCAGAATATGACTGCTGCAGGTAATCTGGCTAATCTCTCCATGCGATCCATCCTAGATCGGGAGAGGACCAACACACTGAAAACTCGTTTTCATGCTCGTTTCGGTCAAATCTCGTTTCCATTCTTTGTATTCTTCACGTATAAGTCCATCCCTATTGGTGTGTGACCCTGTAGGCCCATTCTAAGTGGTAGTGACTTTAGGAACCTTTCCCGAACCACAAGTCATGGTTAGCCTCTAGCAAGACGCCATGACCACCCACGTTGAATTGAGTTAGAGGTGATCTAACCAAGGCATTAACTGCTCGAATTCTGATCCTTTGTCTCACGATATCATAAGTTGAACAAGGGCATGATTTGAGCCACCCTTCAAGTTCGACTGCTTTCTCGTCTTGGCAAATCGACTAGTACAATAGATGCAACTTCATCTATAGCGTGGCCACGCGTTTTCATAGTCCGACTTCCACGAGATGGCCCAGCGATATCTCTCCTGTTAAGGAGGTGACAAGTCCCATATTGCATGTCTACTATCTCCATATGATTCGTGAACGTATCTGATCAACGCCGTTATAATCATCCGGTTAAAGACGACGTTTGACGCAGTCAAGACACGCCACTCCTCATATCAGATACTCTAGACATCTCAGGTATGAGGATCCATAAACGAACCGCTGTATGAGATTCAAGTCATGACTCTGTCCATGTGACAATCTCATGCGGGTCATCCAGTCACTCGTTCACAACGAGTACCCATGATTGTGATCTACATCCAATACGTTGATCACACCTCATGCTAGTCTTGATTCAACATTGTTCCGACAATGATGACTGGCTAGGGAGTTTAGAATCATTCTCTAATGATTCAAGGATGCCGAAATACAACAAACATGCTAATCGTATAACGGATAAATAATGCATTCATAAATCAATGAATCAATACAAAGTAAAATGTCATATCATGGATCATCCTAGAGCATTACAACCAACATGTAGATCTGTGCCAACCGCTCGATCGGATACTCTTGGCATATAGGGAGAAAGTGAGCTGATTTGGTTAGTCGTTCCACGACTACCCAAATAGCTTTCTTCTTCCTCGGTGTAAGTGGTAATCCGACTACAAAGTCCATGGCGATTGAATCCCACTTCCATTGTAGTATCTCCAAAGGCTGAAATTTTCCTCCTGGCATCTGTCGTTCTGCTTTCACCTGTTGGCAAGTGAGACATCTGGCTACATAATCGGCAACGTCTCTCTTAATCCTTGGCCACGTGTACCATCGGCGTAGACCCTGATACATCTTACTCGCCCCTGGATGTATCGCTAGTCTCGTCTGATGTGCCTCAGCTAATATCTCTTGTCTCAACGCGGGGTCATCTGGCACACATAGCCGGTTTCTCAAACGCAGTGCGTCTTTCTCATCAATGCGGTAGTCCTTAGGACTATATTCCTCGATTCGATCTCGGTACCGTGATAGTAAGGGATCACTGGGTTGTCCCATGATTACTCGTTCCACCAACGTCGGAGTGGGTTCCTCCCGCTCTAACGTCAAATGCCCCAACATTGCAGTCAACTCTACGGCGTTGTTGCGAGATGAAGTCACTGTACGGATAGCAGCCAAGATCCGTTTTCGGCTGAGTGCATCTGCTACCACGTTAGCCTTACCAGGATGTGTTGGGTTATCTACGGGTTCCTAGCATGCGATCATATCGATCTAGGGTTTGGTTTACTAGGTTTCATGCAGCGGAAGGAAGATCTATACCTAGTCAAACGTCACACGCAACCAAAATCATCCGTAAAACCCCGTTTAATCGTGTATATCACCGAGGAAATTGTTACTTACCTCGTTCTCGATGAGACTTGAAGTTTATTTCGATCCGGGGCCTGTTCTAAATCACCAAGAGCTGAAAGTACAGCTCCTCTACACGTATCCACACCGACGGGAAGGATTCCAAACGATTTGGAACGAATCTGCTAGGATTAGTGAAGAAAAGGGTAACTCAAGAGACGAGATCCAATCCCGGGACAATAGAAATCGAAGAGAACAGTTTCTCTAGGGTTCTAGGATGTTTCTCTGAGTTTTAGGTCGGCCTTTTTAAAGTTTGGACGAAACCCCAAACTTA